AAAAAAAAAAAAAAAAAAAAAGTCAACTCATTAGATGGAATATATGCTGATACTACACTTTCTTAAAGTACTTTGGCTCACACTTCACTGCCTACAGATAATCTTGCAGATGTGTTTAGCAGAGCTTTGTTCTCTGTTTTCTCTGATTGTGTGTTTACTAGTAGTGTGATCATAAGCAAAGTTCTATATTTTTTGTCTTCAAGTTCATTGTAACTGGGGCCTTAAGGCTGCCCGCCATCAGCTGCCTTTTCTATTTCTGTATATTCTCTATTTTAGGTCATGGTGTGGTTCAGTATTTTAACGTAGCATCTGCTATTTACGCAAAATACAAATTGCATGGATTCCAGTACCCCCCTGGGAATCGGATAGGTGTTTCCTTCCTGGATGATGGAAGTAATCCGGCAGAGTAAGTACCATTCCAGGAACGTCCTAGCCAAGCTGTGGGTGGACGTGACTGTGGCTTGAAGAATGTAAAGGCACAGTTAACCTCAGGTGAGGAAGTCACACCAAGTCACTGGTAAGATGCTGAATAGTTCTAGTTTTCTGTCAATTGTCGGTTGTTGTTTCCAGTCTCATCAGAAAAATGGCCACACAGATGGTGACGTCACAGCTCGCATCAATGGTGTGGAGTGACCCAGGTCAGCAGCAATTTCTGGTAAGTAGGTGTGACTCTGTAAGCAGTCACAGATAATACGACATTTGTTTACTCCTGAAGAAAGAACATCTTCAGAGCCATTGTAAAAGACCACGTGGGTGCATCTTTAGCTCTTGGCCCCAAGTCCTCAGAGAGCAATCTTATTTCTCTCCCTTGTGCCTGCTCTTCCACAGCAGTTTGGAGGAAGCTCTGCGTCACAGTTGCCTCAAATCCAGACAGATGTTGTACTTCCTTCGTGCAAAAAGAAAGCCCCTCCCGAAACGCCTGTTAAAGAAAGACTTTTTATCGTGTTTAATCCTCATCCTTTACCGTTAGACGTGTTGGAGGACATATTCTGGTAAGACTCACTTCTACAAAGCTACACATCGGTAGTTATAAACAAGTACGTTCAATGCATTTAAGCAAGTACCCGCTATTCTCGTGATCCTACAGCTGAGAGACGGCCTGTTCTGAGGTTTCAAAGACTGTTTATTGATCTTTTTAGTTTATGATCATTTCCTTTGTCAGGCACATATCCTAACCTCTACACAGAATTCCCTGGGATTTTTGTTGGTGGTGTTGTTTTTAAGACGTAAGACATGAGGATGGTTTTTAAAGCTGCAGGTGTAGAATGGACAATCACTTGTCTCTTGGGAGAGGATGCATTTGCATAGACCTGTCTTCCTATTTCATTTCCTTCCTGTAATTCAGTCTAACAGCTGACTAAGTAGCTTACATTTGGCCAGCACTTGGTTGGATCCTGAGTATTATGTCATGTAGAGCAAATCACTTGATTATAGGGGATAGTATATAATAAGTGTAAATGAAAGGAGAGGAAAAATACCTATTTTTATATTTTACTATAACTTTATATCTACCATAGCTTTTTTTTCTTCCTTTTTTTAAAGACATTTTCCTTTTGCCTTCTAAGAATACTAGTGAGCTAAGCAAATAGGAAGCATGTTAAAGATCCACACAAACTACCAGCCATGTGGTGATAGTATGTTGACCTTTACGTAACTGATTAATTCAGCTTTTGTTTTGTTTTGAGCCACGTCTCTGTGCCAGGCAGCCACTGGGTTGGGGTACTAAATGTGATGTACAAAAAACAAAATATTTTATTACACTAACAAGATATTAACTATACAGAACAGTGGTGGTCGGGACCACAGAAATTCTGAGGTTTCTCTTTTAACAAGGTGTGTGACCTGTAGGATAAACCTAGTTTTACTGGAGAAGGAGGTTGGGGGGTGTAGTTTGGGTTTTGGAGGGTTTTGTTTGTTTTCCTGCCAAAAAAGAAGAAAAAGAAGTCATTCGAATACAGGCTTTGAGAGATTGTGGGGGATTCAAAGCTGGAGAAGCCAATGGGTATCCTGAAAGCTGAGTTCATCCTCACCTGGAAGGCGTGGTGGAACTGTTGAGATTTTTAGGGAAAAAGTCAGGAGACAGAGGAGAGAATAAATTGGAGAGGGACAGCCATGGGGCAAGGAGAGGCGTGAGGAGAACGTTAGAGTGAGGGAAAACTGTTGCTGTTGGTGGGGAAGGAGGCCTCCGAGAGCGCTAAGAGAATTGCTGAAGAAGGAGCTGCCTGTGGAGTATCTGGCAGCCGTCAGATGTTGGCCACAGGTAGACGTTGGGAAACAGTCAAGACCCGCGTTTCGAACTTACTGAGAGCATCCATCGGTTTCTGATACTTTGGTCTTTTACTTTGTTTCAGTCGTTTTGGTAACCTGATCGAAGTTTACCTTGTGTCAGGAAAGAACGTGGGCTACGTCAAGTACGCAGATAGGATAAGCGCCACCGACGCGATCACGACTCTGCATGGGAAGATCCTGAACGGGGTCAGACTGAAAGTCATGCTGGCGGATTCCCCAAGAGAAGAATCCAAAAAGAGGCAGAGAACTTACTGAGTCTCGGTAAGTGTTTCTTACCCACTAGCGAAGGAGTGTGGCGGGAGTGTCTGTAAGTCCCTTACTCGTGAGCTTTTCCTTCGGGGATTTTAGAAGCTAGTTGAAACCATGTTGGCTTAAACCCTATTAACAAAGCCAAGGTCTTTTTGCAATATGTTTTTTAAATTTAAAAAGTTGTTTGAACTCGGGGCTGGAAAGATGGATTAGCAATTAAGGGTGCTTGCTGCTCTTCCAGAAGACCCACATCAGGCTGCTTATAGCACCTGTGTGTACTGAAAGTTCTAGGGCAATCCAATGCCCTCGTCTGAACACATTCAGTCATGTATACATACCCACAGACAGACACATAATACATACACATAAATAATAAAATAGGTCTTTTAAAAAAGTAATCTTTTGACCTCTAACTATTGAAAAACAGTATAAAATTATATATATATATGTGTGTGTATATATATATATATATATATATATATATATATATATATATAATCTTTTAAACCTAAATCTTGGTGTCTTTCTGAACTCAAACTTAATGAGTTTGCTCTTTAAAAGTATACATTCAGAAAATATTTCCATGTGCACCTATGTATTTTAAAGGACTCTGACCATTTGCTAACTCCCCTTTTCTTATAAATATTGATACAACATGAATTCCTTTTTCTGTTGATTAATTTTCAAAACTCAATCTTCTTTTTTAGTGGTGGGTTTTATCTGTGACTTAAGGGGGACATCATCTTTAGATTGTTTTACTCTGATGAATTCTAAGTTTCAGGGACAATCTGTTTCCTGTTTCCTACACTCATCATCCTCCCAGCCCTGCTACATGTCAGGTGCGTCCAGTTCTGACCATTGCTGTGAGCTGGTAACTGTCAGAATTAGTCACCATAGGCCTCATCATGGAAGACTCTTTTGTAAAGCAAAGCAAGTCGTTAGTGCCTCCTTTGTTGGCAGTGAAAAATGCCCACTGGGGCCCATAGAATAATCCTACTTAAAAATGCTTCTAAATGTCTTAATTTAATGACAGAATCTACATTCATTGCACTAAACAGTTGGCCGTTAGCTCTAAAAGTATTTAGTTACCAGTGAAAGAGAATTAGCAAGCACATTTTCTTGTTTACTGATAAAATGTTATTAATTTAATTCTGTTTTAAGTGAACAGTCCTTTAAAATATTCTGCAAAAATTACACTTCACCTTTGTCTAAATATTTTAGTGTATAAGTGACCATTACTGCTTTATTCGGGGAATCTTTGCCCTTTAAAGGGGCAATAATATCCTAGTACAGGAAAATGTAAAAGGGACTCTCATGGTTGAGCCTTTCCTAATGATAAATTTACATTTTCCAGGGAATTATTGGCTTGCAGTCTCAGCACTCAGCAGACTAGATCAGGAATACTGACTGAGGTTAATGTGGATATGTAGAGAGAGCTTTAGAGAGAATGTAAAAGCATGCAGCAGAAGATTTGGACTGGACCCACCTCTAACGCTTACATCTGTATAGATCCATTCACTTTGTGGAGGCTTGTCCCTCAGGAACAGCAGAGTTCCTGATAAAATGAAAGAAAAGCTTTGTAAATATGAGCTAAAACTCTTACATGTGTGGCTGTACTGGAGCCTTTCTGATGTTATCTCATCCAGGGACCAGAAAGTAAAAGCTGGGTGGCACACAACTACCAGCCAGCGGCTGCCGTGAGAACCAAGTTTTAAAACACAGCATCTTCGCCTTCATGGCGATGTGCATTCATCTGCTTCCTAATGAAAGGAACTGCAGCTTCCAGCATGGCTAGCCATCAAAGTATGAGTCTGTCCTTCCCCATTATTGAATTTGGATACATATTCAGGGCAGAGATCAAAAGGAGTCATATAACTTGAAGATAGTGACTTGGTTAGGGTAGAAGTGGCTATAACCTGGATGCCTTCTAATTGCACCATGGTATTTATTTTTTTTTTCTGCATATCCTCTGTTTACCTAGGATGTCATAATGACATTTTCTACCTTTTGAGGTCATTAAGTAATTATATTGGCCAAGTTTGGTAGCCTGAACCTATAGTTGCAGTTCTTAGGAGACTGAGGCAGAAGAATCATAAATTCAAGAGCTTAAGGCCAGCCTGGAAGACACTGTGAGACCCTGTTTCAGTAACTGCATAATCTTTTTTTAAGGTTCAACAAAGAGTGTGATAGACCCCCACATCTTACATGTGTGCAGCAGTCATTTCTTTGGTGTGGTTGGTACAGTGGCTCTGGAATGCTAGTTGATTTTGTTTCTGAGGAGTAAGCCTGGGACTAGATGAGCCACACCTAAAAAGTAAAAAACTGGTTAAGAGTCAATGTTGAAAGTAGTTGAGCCCTATTTTGAGATGAGTCTTGTGTTTATAATATATTTCTCTTTCTATTTGAGGAAAATAGAAATTTTAATATTTCACAGCATCTGGTTTTAAGGTAATTCACAGAATTTCCCTCTAGAAATCCAGTACCTGCTGGCATCGACCTTCTGAGTAAGTTTGGTTTTGTTTACTTGGTGGCATTTATGGTTGAACAGATCAGACTGGCTATGTAGAAGTTAAAGAATTCCTGACAGTTTGGGAATACTAAACACAGCAGCTATTCCCTTTCAGGTGATGATTTTCATCCTTGTATTGTGTTCTTTCTACAGAACAAAGACTAACTAATGACATAATCCTCAGCTGACTGACTGAAAAACGGGACTGGACAAACTCCCTGTGGACAGTTGACAGCTTTTTTTCTTTTCTCACATATCTGATAGTCTACACACCATTGCTTGCCTGGGATTTCTGACTTGTATTTCTGTCCGACTTTAATGGTAAAACTAATATAGTAGTTGTTTCCTAGAAGAAAATGTTGTAAATAGCAGAAATAAAGCTTCCATAGAGAAATATGTTGTCATATATAGCAGAAATAAAGTTTGCTTTGGATAACTAAACCATGACTTATTTATGTGAAAGACAAGAATGAAAAAATAGTAATAGGAGGTGTTTAGGATGTAAGTAAGCGGCATTTCTCATTGATTTTGAGATGTGGATTTTCACATGCTGATATCTGTGAAAGTAGAAACGCGTCAGGTGTATGAAACAGAGTGACTGGCAGTCTCTTCCCAGGGAGACATGAAATAAAGGTGTCTCTTTCAGCCGCTTGCACCTTAGAGTTAGCAGGGGAACAAGCTCCGCCCTCAGTCCACACTCACTGTGGGCTCTGCCGTGGCACAGGCACGAGGCATTTCACCAGGAAGAGTGGATGCTGGGTACTTACTGCTGGACCAAAATTTGCTGATGATTTTGTGCGCATTTCTCAGGATGAAAAGTGTCAATGATTTAGAAATTTAGAGGGTTGTTTGTCATTTGTCATGTAGTAATGGACTGACTTGGAACCCCTGCTCCTCCTGCTCTCCCGTCCAAGACTGTAGGTCTAGGCTGTCACACCTAACTTAAGTAACAGTGGCTTTGAGAGAATGGACTTTTTTTCCATTGTAAATATAGAAACATAATGGCCAGCCCAAAAATATGCTATGCAAGCAATTATCACAACAGACTATGATAGAAGATTGACTCATTTTGAAATGAAAACTAAAAACTGTGAACCCATCAGGCATGGTGTATCATATCTGTAATCCCAACACTTAGGAGGCTGAGGCAGGAGGATTGCTGTACATTTGAAACCAACCTAGGGTTGAGATCCTGACAAACAAAACAAGAAAAATTACTAAGTACTGTGTATTTTGAAAATTCAAGAACAGAAATTTTATCAGCTCTTAAAAAGATGAAATCAAGGACTTAGCAACTTAAAAGAAGGTATAATGACTTCTAGTTGTTAAAGCATTGCTTAATCACCTCTTCTCTGTTCCTGTCCTGTCCTGAGTTAAACTACAGATAAGGAGCACTCAAACACAGGGAGCATAAATAGAGTATTTCAAACCTGGACATTCCTCTAGGGAAAACCGAAATCCTTTCTTTGAATCAGTTTTTTAGAAATGTAGAAAATAAAATCTCAACTGATCTTTCCAGGCAAAAACTGAGCCCGAGTTTTTCTATGAGCCAGGAGCCATGCTTTGGTAAGAGGCAATGCTCCGGAGGAAGTGAAGACCTGAGGTAAAGAAAACCGAAGATTCGTTACCAGCAGATTCATTCTTCCAAAACTTGTTTCCTATAACACAGTTCACTTTTTGCAGTTAAATTATTGACAAACTATTTGGCTTTACCACTCCAGTTACGTTCGAATTCCCTCAAAAATATTCCTTTCCAGTTGCTTATACTGTGTAAAAATAGCACATTTTCAAACAAAGGAAGCTTCCTGTGTCTTCCCAGAATGCCTAATACTTTTGGCTAATCCTCATAGAGATAAATCCCAGCATCTTGCAGTTTTCGTCTGCTGTTCTTTATGTTTCTCCTGCTGCTTCTCCGTGGCTGTCTTACGCCTTCCTGCCCTCCAGTTTTCTAGCGCTCTCTCAGAGCCGACACTCAGTTCTGTGTAAGTGATGTGGTAGTTTGCACAGAAATGTCCCCCCTCGGCTCCCGGAGTTGAACACCTGATGGCATTGTTTGGAAGATTTTGGAACTTTCTTGAAAAGTCATAAATGTTAGGAGCAGAGCTTAGCAGGTTGTTCTAGTAAGAGCCTGGAAGACGGAGCGGAGAGAACTTGCATAACTTTAATCTGGCCCTCGGGGAAGCAGAGGCAGGGGGATCTCTATGGAGTCCCAGGTCAGCCAAGGCTATATAGTGAGACCCTATCCCAAAGACTGGAATAAAATACAAGACTGCCAAAATAAATGCAGACAGTAGAGGCCTAGCTCCTGAGGAGAACAAGGACTCCCTCCGGGTAGCAGCTGGGCTAGAGACTATTGGTAAGATACTTTGGAAAAGACACTGACTACACTCCACCTGCTTTTGAGAGTTTGCATGAAGCTGAATTTAAAAGGAATGGGCTCATTTTGGTGGCGGAAATTTCAAGACATTGTAACATCCAATTCTGAAGTAGTTATTACTGATGACTCTTGTGAAAATCTCCAATGAAGAGCAACAGGTGGAGCAGGGGGAAAAAAAAACCTTAGTTTGGAATGGAAAAGAGCACTACAAAGCTTAAGAATGCAGCCAGGTCTTGCGCTGGAAAAGGCTGTAACTGTTAAAAGAGTTGGCACCATTAAAGAGAAGCCCATGGCTCTGTAATATAACAGGAAAGATGCTCTGAGGGCAAGACCCCACCCAGCCAGTGCTCCGATTGTGTGTGTTTGGGGGCGGTGGCTTTATTGCTGCGCCGGGCAGTGGTGGCACACACCTTTAATCCCAGCACTCAGGAGGCAGAGCCAGGCAGATCTCTGTGAGTTCGAGGCCAGCCTGGGCTACCAAGTGAGTTCCAGGAAAGGCGCAAAGCTACGCAGAGAAACCCTGTCTTGAAAAAACAAACAAACAAAAAAAGTTTTGCTGCTCATAGAAGGCAAGTAAGCAGGGAAGTTTTCACCCTCTCACAAAAGCTGCTGCAGCTGTGGCCAGAAGGGGTCAGGGCCCACCCCAAGTTCTCAGCCAAACTTGACACGGTATGGGTTTTGGAGACAAGAAAGAAGCAAAACAGAGGGTCCTGGATTCCTCTGCACTTCAGCCGCTGAGACTAGGGTTGTGTACACAGGATTAGAAGTAATGGTTCCTCCAGGTTATAGACTCACATCTGAAGATTTGGAGCTAGGAACCTCAGATGAGTGAGAACATGGGCATTTGTCTTTCTGGGTCTGGATTACCTCAGTATAGTGCTTTCTGGTTCCATCTATTTCCTGCAAGTTTCTCAATTTCCTCTTTCTTTACAACTGACTAATACTCCACAGTATAGGTACGCCACATTTTCAGTATCCATTTGTCAGTTGAAGGACATTTAGGTTGTTTCCATTTCCAAGCTATTGTGAACAGAACAGCAATGAACTTGGCTAAGCATTATCTGAAATAGAATACTGAGTTCTTTGGGCACATGCCAAGGGAAGGTATAGCTTGGCCATAAGGGAGATTTATTTTTTGCTTTTTGAGAATTCTCCACACTGATTGTCAGAGTGACTGCACCAGTTTGCAGTGTGGTGGACAGAGATTTCTCAACAACTTCCCTTTGGTTTCTCAGTTTGCAATATTCTGTTCTAAACAGTTTCCATATGTTAGACTTTGGCTTAGCTTGCTGAAGAACACTAAGAAGCTGTATGTATGTTTTCCTACACTGAAAATTAAGTATCTCCTTTTCCTCAGCTTAGTGTCAGTAAATATGAACTGCAATAAGAAACTGATAGATGATAAATATAAGAAGTTTTACACAGTGGTATAGCCCCACTCGGGCATGATTTCTTACGTGGATATTAAGCTCTATTAAAAATCTTACTAGGTTTACCCCATTTCAGCATCAGAAAAAGAAACTTAGAGTTATTTTTACATGATTTTAGTAAAGAGGGGAAAGATAATGTTCATCATTTGATAACAAGTTCCATTGTAGTATCCGGAAGTCTAATGAGTGGACTGTATCATTTCCTTTTCTAGAAACAGTACTCAAGAGCACGTGGACCCTGGGAACTAAAGGTATGGTATGGATAGAGTGGCGGAAATGTGTGGTTAGATGGGAAGCTGTAGTGCCCTCACTGCAGGGCTCGTACTTTGAGCTGAGTAAATGTGACTGATGGCTGCATTTGCTCCTGGGGATGAGAAAAGACCATGCTTGGAGAAAATGCACCAGTCCCTGCCAGTCCGTCTGAGTGATTGCCCCAGAAAGGGAAGTCTGAGGTTACCCGTTAGGAATTGAAGCCTGCGTGTCAAGGTCCGTGTGACCTAGCAAGATGCAGGTTGACCGAGGCCACAATTACGGTAGCAAAAACTGCCTACCCTACCAGACTGCTGCAGATGCAGGAGAAGGAAGACTTCAGGGGGTTAGTTAAAGAAAATGATTGTATTTGAGATAGGAAACTCTGTGACAAGGTAAGTGCTGTTTCCCACAAAAGCTGGGAAAATACTGAGCACAATCAGACAGTGAAAGTGCCTATTCACAGATGCTCTTCAGAGTCTGTTTCATGAATTCTCCGCCATTTGTAAACAGTGCACAACCGACTGATTTTCTTACGTAGAGAGTAATGTTATGTTCCAACCTGTGGTGTGTGGGGCATAGCCTAGTAATGCTATATTCCAGCCTGTGGTGCATAGTGCATACATAGCCTAGTAATGCTATGTTCCAACCTGTGGTGTGTGGGCCATAGCAGCTAGGTCAGACTGTTAGGGGTATTTGTTCTATTGTTTTTACTTTTTTTTAATGCTGTAAAAATAAAGTTATCTACTTCAATGTCATTTACCAATTATTCAAAGATGTGATCTATCAAAATATATCCTTTGATTTTTTTAACCTTTTTTAAAAATAAATTCTATTGTGGCCCTAGGAAACAGCGTCTACATTCTTACTGTTGATCAGAAAAGACTTCTTCTTTACCACATAGTAAACTGCACTAAAGAATAGAGGTTCCAGTGTGGCATTTGGGGGAAGGCAGAGGAAAAATAAACCCCAGTTTCTGGCTTATAGGATTGACTTCAGGAAGAGTCTAAGGTAGTGGGTGAGCGCCCTGGGAAGGTGCCCTGCTTTGGCAAGTAACAAGGTTCAACCAACGTGGACAAAAAAGTGCAAAAAAGAGAGCTAGGAGCTAGCCCTGTTCTGTCATCACAAATGCCTTCTGAGGGTTCATCCACCATCCTGGCTTAATTCTCCACTGGAAGTTCGTAATGGTACTTGTCTCACCACTTCGAGCATAACTGGGAATTATAGGCAATGAGGGTTCTATATGAGATGTTTTGGTTTTTTTCACTCCCTGTAGTAACTCAAAAGAAGTCTCTCACAAACAAAGGGTAAGAGCTGCTGCCGCCCTGCCATCCTGAGAGATGTGCGGTGTGCCCGCAGTGCCCGGCCTCTGTCCAACAGCTTCG